AGCAGTGATGTCACAGGGATATCGGTGACATCAAAAGGGTCTGGTCACATCACAGGGACATGGTGGCACTGCTGGTGACAGTGATGATATCACAGTGACAGCAGTGACATTATTGGGGAGCAGTGACATCACAGGAGAACATTGACAACAAAGGGAGAGCTGTGATGTCACTGGGACATTGAAAAATTCACAAGGAGAGGGTTGACATCATAGAGACACCAGTGACATCACCAGGGACAGTGGTGACATCACAGGGACACCAGAGAAATCATTGGGGACCAGTGACATCACAGGGGACCAGTGACAAAAAAGGAAAGCCCTGATATCACAGGGAAATCAGTGACAGCATGGGGACATGGAGTCACCACTGGGGACAGTGGTGACATCACAGAGACAGCAGTGACATCCTTGAAAACGAGTGACATAGGAGAGGACTGGTGACAACAATGAGAAAGCCGTGATGTCACAGGGACATCAGTGACATCACAGGGGACATCAGTGACTCTGCACAAGGCCAGGGGTGACATTACAGAGTCAGCAGGGCATCAGTGGGGACATCTGTGACATCACAGGGGACATCGATGGCTTCACAAGGCCAGGGGTGACATCACAGACACCAGTGATATTATCAGTGTCACTGGTGACATCATAGGGGATAGTGGTGACATCCCAGGGACATGGGTGACATCACTGCGGTCATCAGTGGCTTCACAAAGACAGGGATGACATTATAGAGACACCAATGACATCATCATAAAAATGGGTGACATCACAGGGGACAGTGGTGACATCACGGGGAGAAAGGTTACATCACTGGAGAACAGTGACATCACAGGGGACTGATAACAATAAAGCAGTGATGTCACAGGGACATCGGTGACATCACAGGGGTCTGGTGACATCACAGGGACACTGATCACATCACAGGGACATGGTGGCACTGCTGGGGACAGTGGTGATATCACTGGGACAGCAGTGACATCACTGGAGACCAGTGACATCACAGGGGACTGCTTACAGCAATGGGAAAGCTGTGATGTCACAGGGACATTGGTGACATCACAAGGGGTGGAGGTGACAACCCAGAGACACCAGTGATATCATTGGGGACATTGGTGACATCACAGGGGGCAGTGGTGACATCACAGAGGAACCTGTGAAGTCATAGGTGATTGTTGTCAACAAATGGAAAGCCGTGATGTCACAGGGACATCAGTGACATCACAGGGACATTGGTGACATCACTGGGACATGGTGCTACCGTTGGGGACAGTGGTGACATCACAGAGACAGCAATGGCATTATTGGGGACCAGAAATATCACTGAGAACTGGTGACAGGGACATTGATGACATCACGGGGGACCTGGATAACAACCCAGAGACACCAGTGATATCATGGGGGACATTGGTGACATCACAGGGGACAGTGGTGCCATCACAGGGACAGCAGTGAAATGATTGTGGAGCAGTGACATCACAGAAGACTGGTGAAAACAGAAGGGCATCACAGGGGACATCAGTGACTTCACAAGGACAGGGGTGACATTACAGAGACACCAGTGACATCGGTTACACTAGTGACATCACAGGGACAGCAGTGAAATCACTGGGGACCAGTGATGTCACAGGGGAGTGGTGACAACAAAGGGATAACCGTGCTATCGCAGTGACATTGGTGACATCACTGGGGACACGGGTGACTTCACAAGGACAAGGGTGACATTACAGAAACGGCAGTGACATCATCGGGGACATTGGTGACACCACAGGGGACAGTGGTGCTCTCACAGGGACATCGGTGACATCATGGGGACATGGTGCCATCACGGGGTACAGTTGTGACATCACAGGGAGAGCAGTGACATCACCAGGGACACTGGTGACATCACAGGGGACACTGGTGACATCACAGGGATAACAGTGACATCACTGAGGACCAGTGACATTACAGGGGAGTCGGAAAAACAAAGGAACAACCGTAATATAGCAGGGACATCGGTGACATTACTGGGGACATTGGTGACTT